AACTTTTTAAAGCCCTCACCATCCACAAACTTGAATGGAAGCTCATCAACAATGAGCATCTCAGCTAAGCCCTTTCTAATGGCCTCTTGGTCAAACTTCCAACAACTAAGGGAATTCATCTTCTCATTGTTTTCACCCTCCCCCTCCCTTGAGGCTAATTGCATATTTAACTGTGATTGTTTTGCCTCTAAGCTATAGGGGTTTTTCTTACATATGTTCATGTGGTTCCTTAATGAGCCTGTCCCATTTTTCTTAGGGTCACACCTTTATTTCACCATTATCTGAGATAAATTTGGAAAAGTGGTCCCATATCTCTGACCTTGGCTTCATTGCTTTTCTTTTTCCTTTAGCAACTACATTCATTGAATCCATTTGGTTGGAAGGTCGTGGCCGGGGGTGTGGACTTCTAATTTCAGTAATATTTGTAGGAGTCTCTCCAGTTTGTTGTGACATCTAAAATCACAATTCACAAAGGATAAGATACATGTTAAAATTAACAAACAAATGGAATAAAATACTTGAACATCTACAATCATAATTCACTTAAGGTCATTGTTGGGATGACCATTGAAGAAAAATATCAATTTCCGAACTGAATCTACACTCCATAGAACAGAATAGCCGGATTCATCAGACGGATTACAAGTATATATACTACAAGTAATTAGTAGTCAAAGAAAACAAAATAAAAAACACAAGATTTGATGACACCCATAACCCCATTTTATTTTTGCAAATTCTCCCTATACGTTTTCTCTTCGTGATTTAATAAGGAATCCAGTTTGACATGACCTGATTCAGAGAAGCAAAGTAAATAAGTAGTGTCATATGAAGAATCCTAGGTTGTTCAGAGAAGCTAAGTAAACAATCCAAAGTAGTAGACATGAAGTTTAAATAGATTTAACTTTTAGAAAAAAAGGAAAATCTAACTAATTAAATGCCAGCAATTCAATATGTTTAGCTAATTATTTTTATTTTCTTTAATAGGGAGACAAAGGATTCCTTATTACTTTTACTTTTGTGATAGAATGAAGAAATATAAGACAAGCTAAACTTGATAGCTCCAATTGTCAATTTATTAGTCAGTCCAGATTGTCCTTTTTCATTTTTTTATCCTTATTGAAACAATTTAGTATTCAGAAAAACACAAGTATATAATCACCATCAGAGTACCGATTTTTACATTTGTTTTTCCTCCTGTCGGATCACATATCTGATAATCCCCCCTCCTCTTCAAGCAAAGCAAACGTTTCTAATATAATGCAAGCAATCAGCATAACAAGAAATCAGCATGGCAAATTCTGATTACTAAAGTTTCACTTTATCTATAATGCAATTGGAGGCCTAATATTTTACTAAAGTTTCACTTTATCTATTAGTACTTTATCTTTCAAGGAAAACATAACAAGCAATCAACATGGCAAATTCTTCGTCATTAGTGATTAGACACAAGGCCTTAGTGACTTAATTTGGTCCCAATAATTGCCAAGTGTTCCACGCATGAAGTTCTAGTATCGACTATCGTGACCCATCTCCTTGACTCGTAAAGATAAATAGGACGACAAGTTTATAGGCCCACTAAACCCATCTACGGCTCCTGTGTCCCCCAAACTCCAGGAGCAGCCACTCAAGTATATATTAATGGTAAAAGGAATGATTAGAGAATTTCAGAATGCCTTCAACCTTTGGTACTGTCACTTTCAGAGTGCTGGGACTTTGGACTTCTGGAGAAGAAGAAGAAGAAGAAGAAATACCTGTTGGCTGTTGTAACTTGTAAGCCTGTAAACTGGCGGTGAAGGAGTGCCTGAGTGTAGAGCCTGCCTGAACTGCGGCAGACTAAGAACTTTGTTTGGGAGGATTCTCGAATCTCGATCTATGCCTCTTTGGAGTGATGGAGTTTTGTCTGCTCTTGGCTCTTGCTCTGGAGTTGACTGGAACAGCTGAACAAATGAATAGATGATGAGGAAGACGAAGTGCAGTGCCAAACTGGAAACTGGAGTGGAAACTCTGGACTCTGTAATGGAACTATGGTCTATGGAAGTCTCAACTGATCAACTCTCAGAGTCTCAGGTCTGTATTCTGGAACTGGTCCATTGGAAGTGCCGCAGTGACTGTGAGGAAGACAAAGGGACGAAGAGTCTCTCCTCTCTCTTTCTATTTTCGAATTTCTTTGTGTTTTGGAATTTGCCAATTTGGACTTTACGTGATAAGTGTTCAGTGATAACGTGAACGTGTCTAATACGCTAAACAATTGCCTACTTTTTTGCTAATTCGGTTAATGGTCGATCTTCCATTCCATATATATATATAACTATATATTTATATGTATTAATTAATTAAATATTAACATAAAATTATAAATCAATATAAATAATATTAAAAATATATAAATATAAAACTAATTCGGTTTTTTCGGTTAACCGAATTGGAAAATATGGTAACCGAAACTGAAAACTGAAATTAACAAAAATCGAATAGAATAATTGAACCCGATCGAAAAACCGAATAGGCCAAATTGGTTAAACCAAAACTGAAATTTTGGTTCGGTTTTTCGGTTTTAACCGAATTATGCTCACATCTATGGTCTTTTCCTTTGCAACAAATCCAAGGTATTTATTTTTTGGAGTACCACCTCCTAGTAGAAAGCCCTAACTTTTGAAAGCATAGGGCTACACCAAACCTCCTTTTTCTGAAAGTTCCCTGCAAGGTTAGAAGATTGAAGGAGGACATTAAAGAAGGAAGAACAAGTGGGAAAGCCAGAAGGGGAAGGTTTCCAAATTCTGCTATCCAAACAAGATTGGTCTAGGTAAATTGTTCTTAATTGAGCTACAAGTTTATCAACCATTCACATTTTTGACTCCCTTAGCCCTCTCCTTGAACCCAAATCCCAAGAGTTATCAATAAACACTGAGGAACTCTCTCCAACCCAAACATCTTCCCAAAGTGACACTTTGTTACCGACATAGACATCGCTATTTGAGCAAAGGAAGCATAGTGGGCAATATACCATAAATAACTTTCCAAGGAAAACAACGAGAAGCCCTAGGGTTGAGACCCACACCCCAACCCCTGTCTGCCAATCGATGTATGCTAACAATCACTCTACACCAAAGTCTATCCTGTTCTAGCAGCAACCTCCACATCCATTTCCCCGACAAGGTTGTATTTCTCAATCTGATGTTACCTATTTTTAGGCATCCATCATCTCTAGTCCTGGAAACTATCTCCCACTTCACTAGATAATCCTTCTTGGTATTCCTCGGTTCCCACGGAAAATCCATCGTGATTGTCTCCAGTTGGTTTGCCACATTTACTTGTACTTTGAAAGTAGACAGGAAATATACTAGCAAATTGGGTAACATAGATTTGATCAGAGTTATTCTAACCCCCCAAAGAAATGTAGTTTCTTTTCCAACTTGCTAGCTTCTTCTTAATCTTTCAATTACTGGGTACTAGAAGCTATTTGCATTAGGATTTCCTCCTAGTAGTTGTCCAAAATATTGTATTGGCCATTCCCCCACTTCACATTCCAGAACAATTCCTAGCCTGCTCACCTCTCCCCTTTTTCTAAATTCACTCCTGCCACATAGCTCTTGTCCTACCCTACTTTTTAAGGTTGGAGATTCTTTCAAATTGGTGCACTAATCTCTTAAGATTCAAGAGCTCTTCTTCTTGCTGGTCATTGGACATGGTATATGCAATTTATGCAAATAATTCTCTATAGATTACTGTTTTATTTATGTTACTGGTCATTAATTGGTCTCTTCTGTTGTTCTACCACATGCTTGGATATTTCTTGTTCTTGAGCTTATTTCATATTTTCTCCTTTATCCTCAAGTTCATTTTCATTAATTGAGGCCTTATTTTTGTTGGATAATTACTTCTGTTTTTTGGTAATTGGTAAGTTGATAATTACTTTGATTTTTGGTAACTATGAAGTGATAATTGCTTTTTAAGTGATTTAAATTAGCTGGTTTTATATCCAAGGAAAATGATATATCCGAGAAGCCACTCTTCTCTGAATGTCAGCTCAGATCTATTCTCAACAAGCATCCCAACGAGCGACTACAGCTGCACATTTGGAACATCTCCCCATGAATGACAAGGGAGATGTTTCTGATCTGTGGCTGTAAAGGCTTGCTGGGAGCATTTGCAGGACCATTTGTTGGGGGAATGTCTGTACTCTATGAATGTTGGGGGTGGCATTAGCATAATGTTTAGTTGCCTTAATAGGTTATTTATATTTTATTTATGTATAGATTTTTAATTAAACATTTCTATTTATTGTTTGGGGGGAGTAGTGTAAATTCAACAAGGGACAGATAGGATTGCGTGGTTAGGTATTATATGCAATTTCTTGCCTAGTTTTAGAAACTCATAATATCCATAGAAGGTTGTTGAAGATAAAGGGCAAATTCACATTTTAAGTGGGAAAAAAGCCAAATAATCAGGTGGTTAGTTTGTTTCTATTCAAGACAATCAAATATACCACTATGTCTTCTGAAATCCATAACTGTGTAAAACATTCAAGGGTTCACATGTCTTATTGAGAAAGATTTGCAATTAGATACCATTTTGATGGAACTGGAATTAGAATTAGTTTTCCATTTTGGCATGGATTCCATGAAATGAAATTAACTTTCTTTCCTTGGAATTTCAAAATCCTCAAGAAACATGGAGTCAGAGGGTTAAAATCCACTAGACTTCAAATCTTCCTATTAAAGAGCAGAATCAGAAACTTGTGGAGTTTGGGTCAACCACTTCCATTTATGTCCCTCAATTTCATTAGAGACAAACATGGTCTTCAATATCATTTCATGGTATTTCACTGGCTTCTGGTGTCATATCTTTTTGATTAGAGAACCTTAAGCTAGTTTTTATCGTTTGTTTCTGTGTGGGCATGCACAAACCCCCTGTTTTTTACCCCATACTAGGTATGCATGTATTATTTATCTTGAAAATGAAGAATTACCATTTGAAAAATGATTTTTATTTTGCAGTTGCGGGGTGAAAACTTAGGATCATTATCTGATATTGATGATCTTGTGAGCACTTTTTCAAAGGTTAGTTTTTATCCCTGTCAACAACACAATATTAAACATCATTTGCATGCTTAACAGTGTATTTATTATTCAATTGCTATAGTATTAAACGTTTAATTTATTCTTTGTCTTTGAAGGGTCATCTGTACATTTAGGAATTATAAGTGTATTCTTCTTTGATCAGAAGAGTACTTCATCGTCATTGTCATCCTAGTTGTCATCTTCATCCCAGACTTGTCCCGTGTAGCCAGCCACATATAGTTGCAACAAGGCTTTAGATGATGATGATGATGAAGTGTATTCTCCTATTCAAAGATTCTTGGAATGCCATGTGATGTTTGGGTGATGATATTGATAAAATATGAATTTCTACTTCTTTTTCTGGTAATTTTTGGGAGAAATCTTTGTGTTTCCAACAATTACAAATTTGTTATATAATCTTGACTATCATTGAATTGGTGGTATTTGGAAATGCATCCTTTTTTCGTTTTAAATGGAAGGTAGTATACCTTGTAGGGAAACCGTTTATTGTAGTCTGGGTCTGGGTCTTTTAGACTAGACTCAAAATTTGACATTTTGTTTGTTATGATTAGGAGTTTAGACTTTTACGTACTACAATCATGAATTTGTTGACTGTGATTACCTTGTTCCATTTGTTTAGCTCTGAATGATCAATGTGTAACTTTCATGTTTCTTGCTTGTTTAACTACACACATGTGGATGTTGAGGTTTAGGTGCTAAGGGCTATACTCGATGCTTAGTTTAACCTGATAAGCTCATTACAAATTTGAAATTGTTTGTCATCTTGAAAGTAGGGTGATGGAAGCTCCTGCTTTCTCTATTTTTCTCATGAAAAAGGAAAATTAAAAAAATCCTAAAAGAATATGAAGACTTGTTTTTATAAATAAAGATGGCCTCTTGATAGGAGAATATCTAGCGTGGCCCCTTCATATTGATCCATGATAAAAGAAAAATTCATCAAAAAGAAAAGAGGAAGAATTATATAAAGAGCATACAAGGTTTGTAGCCAAATTTCCTTACAAAGAACACATTTAAATTCCAATAACACTACAACAAAAAAGCATCAAATAGATCCATCTATGGCGGTATGGCCCCCAAGTGTCTCACCAACCAGCCACCCTAAGATTCTCCTTGCCCTTTTCATTTGAGCATAGGTCGACCTCCTTAAAGATATTTAGGATAGGCCAACCTCCTTGGAGGAGAGAGAGCCATTCTCACTCCACTATTTATGTTTCTTATATCAAGACATAACTACTTGAGAGGCCAGATCTAACTAATTACCTGATGTGGCCTTCTCAAGCATACAAACCACATGGGAGGTGTGAATGCTTTGGTTATGGGTTGCTAGGTGTGGGCCTAATTTGGGCTGGTTTGTGTTGCTTCTGAAGCTGTTGAACTTGACATGGGATGGGTTCTTATATATGTGTGTATAAAGATATGTACAATTACAGAAAGAGAAAAGAAAGAAATAAAGAATATGTAAGACACAACATGGACTTTGAGTTGAGGACATTTTTAGGGGATGGTGAGTAGTGGCAAATCTTCAACTATGAATGTGGTTCAGGCCCATTTATCTGTGGCATAACAAAGGGTAAAATTGACCTTTGATGGAAGCTCTTTGTGCAACCTGGGGCCCTGTGGAGTTGGGACAGCATTTAAAGAAGGGGGGATGCTGATGCACTATACTTTGGCCCAATAGGTGTGGGAGATTCATTAAGAGCTAAAATTATGGCCTTACTTCAAGGTTTAAGGCTTGGCCAAACAATGTGGAATTCAAAATTTTGTGGTGGAGGGAGACTCTAAACTCTTGATAGGATGGCTGCAGGCAACATGCTTAGGTTTGTGGACTTTTAGATAGTAAATGAGGGAGATTTTTTTGCTTAGCAAGGGAAGTTGGAGTACTTTCCAATTGGACAAGGAGGTCAGCCAATGGTTTGTCTGATATTTTGGCAAAGCAGGGGACCCTTAGGGAGAACCCTTTTTGGGCTGTGTTGTAAACACTGAGGTAAAATATGGGGTCAACACTCATGTTGTGAGTGGTTGACATTGTATGTTTTTAAACGTTGTTTTAATGAAAGCTGCCATTTCCAATAAAAAATCATAAGGAAAACAATGCTTGAAGGTGAAAAGAATTAAAGAAATAGTATAGCAAGAATATTTAAAAAGATAGGAATGTGCTAGCTCAAATTTGGCTTTGCAACACCTAGTTCTCATTAATGAAGTGAGTTGTCCTTTCTTTTGGCTAGAAGTCCACATACTGGTTGTGACTGCCATTCGGCTTGCATTTTCTTGCAAAACATTCTGCAGCTTTTCCTTCTCAATGCCATAAATTCTAATGACGCCTTTCTTGATAGAAGGATTCGAACCTGAATTGTTTATATGAAAACAAAGGTTGAGCTTTGTAGTGCTTCATGAGTGCTTCATGGATTACAGTTGGTGAAAGAATTAAAGTGCTTCATGGATTTCTACAATAAAAAAAGGAGTGGGAGGCGATCTGGTTACTCGTGCTGGTAGGTGCATAGAAGTGTCACATGGTGACTCAAGTGGACACATGAAGGAGATGTTAGTCGGGCTTCAGTGGGCAGTTGTCTCAACCTATCATCTTCCATCTCAAATAGGTTAGAGAGGCTTGGTTCTTTTCAGATTAAGGGATTGGGTAAAAAGTAGAGTCAACATAGGACCTGGCTTGAAGTGAAGGTTGCATGGGGGAGGAAAAGGAATAAGATTTAAAAGGCAGAGTACAAGGAAAGATGGAGGAAATGAAAAGAAGTTTGAAAAGTGGGAATGGGTGGTCACAAGGTTCGTTTGAGAGGAAGCTTCAAAAGTCACTGAGTTTTAGTGGGGAGGCAAATGTCTCGAAGGGTACATCCTCAAAGCTTAAAGCTCATGAGAGGTTTGTCCCGGCCGTTGAGTACAGCAACAACAAATGAAGGAGGTGTGAATTCAAATGGGATTTTGACAATATTTTTCAGTTGAAAAAGAAGTGGAGTGGAACATAAGTTCACAGGCAAGAAGCATTGAACAGGGTCCATTTGAATTGGCATCGTCAGAGTTGGAGTTTGATAGACAATCCTTTGTACAAGATACAAGTGAGAGTCTAGTTGAGGGAGGAGGTTGTATTGAAATTATGGTAGGGAAGCTTGGTAAGGATTTGGGGAGGGGGAAGGTTAAGTAGATAATGTAAGTGTGATAAAGGACAGTGGAGTTATCAATAGAACTTCTTTGAATTCAAAAAATTAAGGAGCTCAAGTGTTGGCTAATTGGTACATGCGACCAATGTTTTTTCCCAGTTGAAAGAGGGGCTTGTTGGGGCTGGTCCTTGCAGTAAATATGGGGGAATTAATAAATGGAAGAAGAACTTAGGTAGAGCAAGACAAAACTATTTAACTTTAGAAGTTTCTTTATAAGTTAATATGGGACCTATACACAGGCTGAAACCTGCTCTGCTTCAATTGTGTCTGCTCTGATGGATGTTCTCCTTACTGGATATTGTTGCATAAAACAGAAGAACAACAAAAGAACATATTAAAATCTTTTTGTATTAGATACATAGATTCTTTCACTTGATTATCATCGTTCATTTGTTAACATTCTGTCAAAGAAGTGGATAAATATGTATATTTGCCTTTGTCATATATTTTGAAATCCCTAAAACCCCATTTTCTTGATTTGTAGGAAGATTTCACCTTTTTCCATAAATATAATTGAAAGAATATTTCCAATCATGATCATCTAAAATCAAAGATCTAAACCATTAAAATGGTGCCTCGAAACCAGTCTAACCGATCTTGAAAATCCAGGTGATGTCCAAAGATTTCAACTAATCTAGGTCATGGAAATGGAATAGAAGACAATACTAGATATATGGTCCATTGATGTGGTGTCCGTTGGGATACTGCCATCCTTGTTTGAGGCATCAGGTTGAGCTTGCTCTGATACCAAAGTGTTGGGTTGCTAAATGCAGGAACCGCTTTGAGGGGCTTCTCCTCCTATAGTGCTGAAGTTAAGAGAGGGAGGGAGAGAGAGAGAACAGACGAAGAATAGAACTATAGAAGATATCTCCCCCCTGCTAACTAACTTGATTCCCTTTTACAAAATCATAACTGATTAGTGTGACATGTCTTTCTTGTATAAACATAACAGACCGATGGCTTGTTGGAGAGCTGGGGTGGCTGTGGGCTGATGCAGCTGCTCGTTCTGGGTTCCTCGAGGGCCTGGTTGTTGGGGATGGGCTGTAGACTCGGCTCAATCCCAACAGCGTCCCAATATCAATCAAGTGATCTTTGTCCTTCAAGATCAGTTATCAGCCATCTAACTGATTTACTAGGATTTTAATGTATCTAGGCCATCCAAATATCTAACCCCAAAAATATATGCTGTCAAAATAGTCTTTTGAAAATAAGGAATTAATCATGACCATCGAAGTATGTACCAATATCCCAGCTGATCTCAGTGACTCCGTCATACAATTGATGCATGCAATTTTCTAAATAATCAGGTTATGTAAATGTCATATCAATGAAGCTGTAACTCTATGTTATTAAAACTATGCAAATATTGTCACCTTGATTTTGGAATATGTTAGACTATGAGTAGAATATTGGTATGTTGCTTGGAAGGATGATTTCTTTTTTGATCAATAAGCTTGGTTAGATGATGTATCATGTATCCACTACTCTAGGAGATTGCTGTTAGAACCCAAAAACAGAGCAAGCCTTTTCAGAAGGTCTACACAAGGAAGAAAACATGTGGGACTAAACCAACTGTACAACAAACTAAACTAACTAATTTAAGTTGGAAACCTGATTCTTGATGCAATTGGGAATCTTGATTCTTGTGTTGTTACAGCTGTTAGAAATCTACGTTATACATGTATAAATAAGAATGGGAATAAGAGAGGCTTTGATTCAGATATCCCCTTCTCTCTATCTCTCTCTTTCTCCACCAATGATCTTGAAGAAATCAAAGAAACTCTAGTAGTGGTGGTGGCTCAATTAGGA